TCCCTTGTGTCTAACATGGGTAACATCTAGAAGAAAGAAATGTTGGCTTCGAGCAATGGATCACATTCTAAGGATTTCCTGAGCTAATGGTGTATTATTTGTGTTTGTGAGTGCACGTATTACTGAGAGACAATCTGTATAGATATAAGTTTTGGGGAAATACTGATGTATGCTTTTGCTGACTGCCTGCAGGAATGTAAACATTTCTGACTGAACTTTCCCTCCCTTTCACTTTTCGCATGCCTCCATGGTGTAATTGGAAGAACACTTGACACGCATTTGGGAAGTATGGAGTTCGAATCCTTACAAGTGCAAGGAACATTTTGCCATGTTCCTGAAGTGATATAGCCTAATGACTCTATTAACCATTATTAATTTTTTTAATGCATTACTAAAATTTCACAGATAATATGGTGCACTTCCTAGGAGTTCACCTGAAGTAAGTCCCTCACTTGTCCCATTGTTGACTCAGCTTTGATGAACTAGAGTGAAATACATTTAAAGCGAAAACACTTAAGAAATACTGGTTAACGCAAAATAATACAACGTAGTACAATGAGTACATTGCAGTGCAAGTAAAAAATCTGTGAGTTAGGTTCTTATGTTGCACTCTTGCATGTCTTTCTTTCTTCATATGCTGCACTCTGCATGGAGTCACTGAATTCCATCAGATTCTTTGGCACCAAAAGAAATGGAGGAGGAGGACAATGAAACTGAGCTGACACTTAATAAAATGTTTGAGAAAGTTTCTGTATTATTGGACCGTCCTACTGTATGATCCGAAGAATTCGTTGCAGTGGAAGAATTCATTGATGATAGTGTGTGTACAACCTTAATTATGACAGACAAAGGTTTTTTTGGTGTTTGTTCAAAGCTAAAAAAATATCATTGATGCTGATTCCGATGATGAAAATGAAATGAATAATGCAGCTCCTGATCCCATGTCATCCGAAATGAAGAACTTCATGAAAAGTATACGCAGTTATTCAGACGCATATTCTAATGGTAAAATGAATAACAAAGTGGATGACTTTGAACAATTTGTTAACAATTTGATGCTAAAAAGACAATTCAAAGAAAAATATCAGATTATTTTCCAAAAACACAATAAATGTTTTATTTTTCAAAAAAACTTGAATTTTTTTTTTTTTTTAATTTCACTAAGCTCTTGTGGATGTTTTTGTTTCATTGATTTTTATTAAATATATGCATGTATACAGATGGAGGACAAAATAATATGAACACCTGTGAAATAATAGAAAATCTTTATTAATAAGGGGTTGGACCACCCTCTGACTGAAGTACAGATTAAATGTTACATGGGATAGATGCATAAAGGTCATGGACAATATTTAAAGGAATATTAAGCCATTCCTCCTGCAGAGCGGTCTCTAATTCTAAAAGTCAAGATGGGGGTGGAAATCGTGATTGGAATATGCCCATAAATGTTCAATAACATTCAATTGAGTGAGGAGAGTGAGAGGGGCCAAACAAGATGTTCAATCGCTTTGTCATGCTCTTCGAACCATTCTTGAACACACCTAGCAGTGTGGATGGGGGCATTGTCGTCTTGAAAAAGCGGTCGCTTTCCAGGGGATACAGTCTGGACAAAAGCATGGACATGATCCCCTAGAATGCTTAGATAGTGATTGGATGTGAAACTCCCATGCAGAATAACAAGTTGCCCAAGAATGTGCCAAGATATCACATCCCATACCATAATGACGCCACCCCCACGCTTCCAGTTCGCAAGGGACAGTCAGGATAAAACGCTTCTTTGGGCGTTCTTCAGAGATAAACGCATCTGGTCATCTGAAATAATGTGAATGACGATTCATCTGAACACATTACCTGTCGCCACTGCTTTGGGAAGCCTTTGTGATCTCTGCACAATTAGCCTCGCTTGAAATCATTAGATGCTCTCACCAAGGGTTTACGAAATGCCGCTCTGCCATAAATGTTTGCAGCATCAAGTTCCCTTTTGACAGTTTTTTTTAACGGGTCCTAGAGATGACCGTTCGTTTCGGATGTTATCTTGGATAACGAATGCTTGTGCCGTCAGGCTACTATGTGCTTCAAGACTCGTTTATTTCTATCAGCCAGCTTTGACTTTCGGCCACTGTTGTGCTTTGAAGACGTCGTCTTACTCTCTTTCGTGCACACTGTCATAATGGCTGATACCGTACTTCTTGCACACCCCACAAAGTTTGCTGTTTCCGTAACCGATGCTCCACTTAAATGTGCTTCAACTATAATTCCTCTTTGGAACTCTGACAGGTATGACATTTCAACTTCTCACAGACAGTTTGATCGAAGCATGCAATGCAGGTGACTGCTGTTGAGACTGATACCTTCCTTTTCAAATTCAACTAGGTAGCAGACCTGTTGCAGTTGGCGTGGCTGTACTGCAGGTGTGAAAGATGTCATACTTTTTCACAGGTGTTTGCATTATTTTGTCCTCCATCTGTACATATCTATGTAAATAAAATGTACTCTAATAAACTTAATTTTGTTGAATATATGTTTTTTTCCCAATATCCTTTAACATGAAAAAATATTTCAGCCCTCTCAGTTTCATGTCAAATGATTTTCACTGTACATAAAAAATTTACACATTTCATAATTAACATCATTTGAAAGAAAACATTTCCACATCCTTGCTGAATAAATTGTCCTTTTACAATAACTGATATGAAAATATGACAAAATTAAGTGACAGATTCACGTTTGATTAAAAAATATCATTAAAGATACGTTCATCATTAATAAATTACATATATTTTTTCTTTAAAGTTTACAGCCTCTCTGGTACAAGGAATTGCTCCCCGAGTTTTCTCAAATAGTTAAATTGAATAAAAAAACTGTTAAATTATGTTTCAATTCAATCAACATGACCTTCTTAATGACCTTTCTTCTTGATGACCTTCTGAAAAATCAATATCTTAAAATACAGTAAAACCACACTATAAAGTATAATAGGCTGAAAGTTTGGCTCACTATATCTGATCTGACAAAGAAAAAATAGATCATGTTACAGAATAGTATAAAAATTTATAGATGAATATAAAAAAAGGTGCTGATTAACATTATGATAGGTCCTAGAAGTAAATAATAAATCTAATCTGAAAAAAATCATATTAAGAATCAGTTGCAGCTATTACGTGCAATTACTAAAATTCTTTTTTGCTGTGTTTTCAGTTTCACCATTAAATAATCATTTTACGTGATAAATTACTTAGTATGAAAATCATGGCTTATCAGACCCTCTAATTATACATCAGCATCCAAAGTATATATTTATAATTATCATTTGTCCAGATAATGTCAGATTGGTCCTTTTTTTTTTTTTTTTTTTTTTTTTTTTTTTTTTACTTACCACATGCCCCATCCTTAGTCACTAAACAGAAAGAGAGGGATGCCCAGTGGAGGTCTTTTAAGGGAAATTGCCTCGTATCCCCATTACAAATGGGGAAAACCACAAAACGCCCATGCAGCCAGCCCGTTCGCCGGGACTTAAACCCCAGACTGAACTACCAGTGCTGAGCAGCTTTTACCAATCCGCTGCTGGTGGGCCATTTGGTGCTGCTTTGAATGGCAAATCGTTGCAGTATAGCCTCTTCAACATCTTTATGCTTGGCCTTTTTAAACATTTTTGCTTGTATCCACTATTTTTCTATCAATAGAAATTGTCGAGTACTCCATTTTTCCATATGGTATTAACTGTAGATTTAGATAATCTATATTATGGGTACATCCATTCTGTACTGTTGGAGAAATACTTATCTTACCTTCACATCTACGATAGAGAACGCTGGACATTAACCATCTGGTGTATGAACGTATTTTTGTCACTGAAAATTTCCCCACTACATAGCAAAAAGTGTATGTAACGTTTCACTCTTCTGAAAATATGAAAATTGAAGATAATTTCATCACTAATCTATCCTATCCCAATGCCCAGTAGGCATTAATTTTTCCGAAGATATATATATGATTACGAAGCAAAGATGCAACAGCCCTTATAAAGAATATCTCAAATCTTTCAAAAGATCTAAAGAAAGCAACCACCTCCCAATTCAGAAGAGACCATTTTAAATACTAAAACAAAACAAAATGATAAAAATAAACAAATTCCATTCTCAAACAAATGAATCACCTGTGTACCCCCAAACATCACAATAATCTATTCACTGCTTTCTCTTTCTTTGAACAGCAAAAATTAAAAAATTTCCATCATAGCATTAGAATTGAACAGATTTTTGTTTGACAAAAATAAAAGAACTATAATGAAAGAACAGTAACATGCCCACCTAAAAAGAAGAGTAACATAGTTTCTTTTCATTTTCTGCTATCTTCATATTGACAGAATTGAATTGGGGATGATTTTAAAAATTAGGAATTTTTAGTTAAAACATGCAAAAATTCTGGGAAAAATACGAAAAATATCAAAAAAAAAAAAATCAAAGATATTTATAAAGTTTGTTATATCCAATTTTATAGCTATATAAAGTAACATTAAATATATAAAAATTAGAAAAGACGAAAAAATTTGTTCGTTATATGCCGTATTTGTTATAAACTGGGGTCGCTATACCGCAGTTAGATTGTACTTCTAAGGTAATTTGTAAAATATTGCATATTATAGCATACAAAATATTTCCAATAAAAGTAACATTATCAGCAGCTACAGTGAATCTCAGGAAATTGAATGAAAAAGCAATAATTAGCTATAGCTAAACAATGAAAAACTTCCTTGATGGATATGACAATTCAATTTTCAAAAATGCTTCCTCGGATTAAAAACATATCAGGAAGCATTTTCTGCCGAACTAGTGCAAACTAGCAGAATTCCACCATAGTTACCCATGCCCATCTTTATGGCACAGCTATCAGGGTAAAGATGGAACAAAAAATTATTGAATTTAAGTCTCTAATATTTTTGCTCTCAAGTCTATAATTCTACATATTAAAAAATGCTTAAAATAAGTAAAATGAGATACCTTGTTTCAGGAGAAACACTGACACTTGGGTCATTTAGAATCAATTTCTCTATGGCTTTCCTCAGATCTTGAGTTCTGGACTGATCAGAAGGAAAAATACCAGCAAATACCTAAATTCATACACACACACACACACACACAAAAAAAAAAAAAAAAAAAAAAAAGTTTAATAATAAATAATAAAAGACATAATATAACACAAATCTTTTAGCCAATTGAAAGTAAGAAATAAATCATACCATTGGTTTTGATGGATTAATCTTTGGAAGTGGTTCAACTACTGAACACTTTTTATACCAAGTATCTCCAATTACTGCCTCTTTTGGATTTTTAATGTTAGCTATAAAATATCCAGCTTGACCTGAAAAACTGGAGAAAAAAATCTTGTGAATATAAAGCCACAGAAGTTTTAAACTATACTCTATGAAACTCTTCCATGTTATTACCAAAATGAAATAACAATGCTTAAAAGAAAAATCTTGCAAGATAAATTCATCATCAAAAAGTGTTTATTCCCATAATGAACATGGTACTAGCCAAAAACACTAGGAGAAAATTTATATAAATCTACCATAACTTAAAAAAAAAAAACGATAATTACATTCCTCCCAGAATATTACAATTTCCTTTCTAAAAATTACATACAACGCATTAGGCACGGCATATGTTAAATATTTTATATCATACGTCATATATACATACATCCATGTTACGTAAGTCCACGATTATAATCATGATATGCAAGTCCATGATATGACCATGAAACAGAATAATGCAATACAATATCTATTTTTATAATATTCATAGAATCTAGGTTCGTTTTATATCTAAAAATTTGTCATCAATGTAGTGCGATTTAGCATAATTTTACAAGAGCAGTCTTACAGTTTTAAATAGTACATATACTGTTTCAATATACTATACACAATTTCTCATAATACTTGCATTTATTTTACAAATTATCATTGACAAGGCACAATACAGTATTCTCATTAGATGGAATCTCTTTATGTCAAATGCATATTATTACATAATCCCAAGTTACACTGTTTTATTAAACAGTTGCAGTTTATTAATACTATATGCAATTAATTATAAACCGAGCATATTACATTGCACACAATGTATTAAAACATATTTGCTTAAACTCACTACTGTCTTTATGCTACACCCATCATATTCAATTAGCAATATACTGTAACTGTCCAAATACAAGACAATTAAAATATGATTACAATACTACTACAGTATTATTAAATTACACATGCATTACTAAACACTTCTTCTTCTTCTTCCTGCAGAGCGGGTCTCCAATTCCGAAAGTCAGGATGGAGGTGGAAATCGTGATTGAAGTTTGGACTGCAAGTATGCCCATAAATGTTCAATAATATTCAAGTCCGGAGACTGAGGGGGCAAGCGAGATGTTCAATCGCATCGTCATGCTTTTCGAACCCTTCTTGAATACACCTATCAGTGTGGATAGGTTGATGTCTTAAAAAAGCGGTCGCTCCCCAGGGAATACAGTCCGGACAAAAGGATGGATATGATTCCCTACAATACTTAGATTAGTGATTGGATGTGATCCTCCTATGCAGAATAACAAGTGGCCCAAGAACGCGGCAACATATCACATCCCATACCATAATGGCGCCACCCCATGCTTCCAGTCGGCAAGAGACAGTCAGGATAAAACGCTTCTTTGGGCGTTCTCCAAACATAAATGTGTCTGGTCGTCTGAAATAGTGTGAATGACGATTCATCTGACCATATTACCTGCTGCCACTGTTGTGGGGAGCCTTTGTGATCTCTGCACAATTAGCATTGCTTAAAAGCATTAGTTGCTCTCACCAAGGGTTTACAAATTGCCACTCTGCTATAAATGTTCACAGCATGAAGTTCCCTTTTGAGAGTTTTTGTTGAAACGGGGTCCTGGACATGACTGTTCATTTCGGATGTTATCTCGGATAACGAATGCTTGTGCTGTCAGGCTACTATGTGCTTCAAGACCCATTTTTTTCTATCAGCCAGCTTTGACTTTCAGCCACTGTTGTGCTTTGAAGACGTCACCTTACCCGCTTTCGTGTACGCTGTCATAGTGGCTGATACTGTACTCCTTGAACACCCCACAAAGTTTGCTGTTTCTGTAACTGATGCTCCACTTAAACGCGCTCCAACTATTCTTCCTCTTTGGAACTCTGACAGGTCTGATATTTCAGCTTCTCACAGACATTTCGATCAAAGCATGCAGCACAGGTGACTGCTGTTGAGAGACTGATACCTTCCTCTTCACGCTCACTAGTTGGCAGACTTCTGTTGCCTGTGGCACGGCTGTACTGCAGGTGCGAAATACATCATACTTTTTCACAGATATTCGTATTATTTTGTCCTCCATCTGCATATAATAAGTATTACAAAAATATTATAATAAATACAAAAGCCTGCATTAAGCTTTATTGAAATGATCTAATGTTGAAGCTACTTTGCTTATTTTCGTAAGTTCTCTAAATACTAGGCATTTTGATGAAATGATATATCTCATAAAATTGTCCTATGTCGTTATTTGAAAGAAGGGAATCATTAGAGTATTTATTTTCTGACTTGTCCCCTCTGTGATTTTTACTGTACCTTGGGCAAACTATTTAATCTGTACAATTTCTGGCCAAATGCCCAAACTACTTGACACTTGAAGCACTATACTACCTTAAAAACTCTGAAACCACTTTAGTCGAGACAAATGAAAATGCGTTTTTCCTCTAGGAGTTTTTGCCTAATGATCATATGAATCTCTATCAACCAGTTGCATAATCTGTCCCGTCTTGGGAGTGGGCCTTTGTGTAAATTATATCTTTCTTATCTTCAGGCTAAAGAGCTGAGAATGCTATCATAGTATCATCTGCAGTTGTATCTGCCGGTACAGAAAAAAAAGAATACTGTATATACCCGCGTATAAGTCGAGGATTTTAAGAAAAAAACAAAGTTTGAAGTAGGTGGTCAAATTATGCAAGGAACATACAAAAGAAAAATTTCGCCGCTGATTGATGAGATGTCAGCGAACTTCATTATTAAGTATATCATTCATACAGAAAAAGCATAAAATTTTTAATAATTTTTTCCATTTCATTTATTAGTTTTTTTCATTAAATTTGTTTCGATTTTATTTTCCGTTTATTAGAAAAGTTCCCCTCATTTCATTATCTGGCGTCACAGAACAATTCAATCTGTACAATATCTATGAGGCGCACTTTGATTATTATAACCGTATCAAATCAGTAACTGTAACCATACTGAATATCTGTCTGTCTATTCATCTTGATCATACACGTGCTTTTTTTACTTTTCCTGCTTTTCATAATGTCTGATTTAGTGGAATCTACAAAAAACGACTTATTTCAGAGCCACACACTCTCCACAGTGAGTTGTGTAAAACAAAACAGAATATCTTACACTGTGAAATTCAAGTTGGAAGTAGCTTCATTTGCGGAAAGTACGAACAACTGTATTTCATGACGTAAGTTTAGCGGGAATGAGATGATTCTTGACTGGAGGAAAAATAAGCCTATATTAAAGAAAACCTGTAAGTCTAATAAGAAGGCACTGCGTTATGGATCACCGTGTTTTCCAGAATTAGAAGAACTGTAAGTGACTGGATTCTACATAACAGATGGCAAGGTAATGTCATAACCCAAACTGAGTTATGTCTGCGAGCCATGAAACTGGCAAAAGATGAAAAATTTGCTTCTGTAAATAGCTCTTTTCATGCAACACAACATTGGTGCACAATGTTGAGAATAACATTTAATTGATGTTATGTGCGGTTTTAGTGGCATCACTGTTTTGTTGTATTATTATGTTTTATGCATCTGGCATCACTGTTATTTCTGTCATTCTAAAGTTTTTATGTAAAAAATAATATGTAGGAAAAGTTTCTTTACTTTTTTGTTATTAAATTCTGAAATTCATTTAGCCATCACTCTTTTTCATTAATTTTATAACACACAAGATTCATGAATCATTATGGACTATGTTTACACCTTCTTACCAAAATTTCACAGAAATTGCTGAGTCAACTCAAAGATAAATTAATAAACTTCCGAAAGCATGTGGTTGAAAAAAGAAAAATAACAATTTTGAAATGTCCCAAATAGGAAACATGGATGAAACTCCCATGACTTTTGATCTCCTTAAAGTTTCGCTGTTGATAAAAAGAGTAAAAAAAAAAAAAAAAAAAAAAAAAAAAAAAAAAAAAAAAAAACTCATCTAAAAATGAGAAAACTCGTTTAGCAAATGGCAATATGTTGCCTTCCATGATTATTTTCACGCAATAAACGTTACCACAGCATTTCTGGCAGGCATTCTTTGTTCGCACCCATAAAAATGGTTGGATGGACAACACCCTAACATTAATAGGTTTCAAAATGTATGGTGCAAAAAAACAGGTGCACTATTAGGGTAACCTTCGCCTTTGATTTAGAATATGTTTCGACCACTTGTAAAAAAAGCATGCAAAAAGTTCAAAACAACACTTTCTCTGATCCCCGGAGGGCTAACATCCATTTTACAACCACAGGATATCAGCATAAATAAGCCGTTTAAGGTGAATATGCGCAAGTATTGGACGGAATGGATACAATTCGATTTGCCTCCTAATACCAAAGGTGGCAATTTTACAAAGCTGGACATAACTTTAATTGCACGGTAGGTGGAAGATGCTTGAGACATGATTCCAGTTGAAATGATAATTAAATTATTCAAAAAGTGTTGCATTTCCAATAGCTTGGATGACAGAGAAGATGATGCAATCTATCCAAGTGACAATAAATGACACTAAGCTATGATGAATCGAGCGATGAAATTTATGCCGACTCGCTACTAACTGAAAAAATAATTTCACATTTATTTGCAGATTCTGACTTTGAATCAGAGTTTGAAGGATTTGAATGAAATTTTTTGAAAATTTTGAACATAGTTTAAAATTTTATCATGTGCTAAAATGGAAATAAACAAAAACTCGCTAAATTTTATCAAGAACATCGGAATGCTGTTTTATCAGTGGCAGCGCTTATGCGACAAAGTTGTTTTTCCAAAAATTTTTCTCAAAAGTCGGGATATCGATTCATACGTGGGTATATGTGGTAATTGTTTTCCCTCTGTGTCTTTGTGCCCTCAATACTAAAGCCCAGATGATGAGGTTAGTTGTATCTTAATGCTAAGAGGCGATCTTGGTTCATACTCTTGGTTATACTCTTCATTAACCCATTCAGTATGGGCGTGTCATATATGCATCAGCAGCAAACATTATCTCACAGCCGGGTGTGTCATATTTGAATTGCCATTTAATTCACTCTATGGCCGGGCATTTGACTTTTTAG